AGCAAGATTCAGAGCATCAATTTGGTGTCTCCGGTGGTGGGTGTTAAATTTCTGTCTCCATTCTCTTTTCTGAATGTGTGGGTTTCCTGTGATGATTTTGTCATTTTCTTAACTGGTTTAATATAATGCCTTCCATATGCAGGCCCCACAAACAAGTTCTTCCCCTCCTACAGCAACTTCCCAAGTTACACTAGCAACCTTAGCTCCGTGAGTTTTTCATTTACTTTCTATTACATTTGAGTGGCCTTTGGACCATTATACTTTATATGTTGTTGGTTAATTTTTCTTCATTTGGCAGGTCACCATCAGTTCCTCTACCTGCACCTACCCCTGCTTCTACTACTGTCCCGTGAGCTCTCTTCTCTGTCTTACATACATATTTCTGTAGGACATGTATATTTTCCTTATGTATATTAATATAAACATGTATTTCAATATTGGAGTGGATCCATTTTTTGATCAAATTCAGATTGCCTTAAACAGAGTCCACTTAGAACCTGAACAAACAGGTATAGTTTGCAGCTCTATGTCCATTTACATTAACATTAACAATAGGAATGGATCTCTGACTCGTGTTCATTATGTTTCTTTCTAGGGGGTTGGGCTCAGCATCAATGAATTGATAATAAATTTTGGGCCTTGGGGGTCCTTGTTTGTTTTCCTGTGAATGTCTATGTGCATTGGTCCTTCAAATGGGCCTTGGGGGTCCATGTTGGGAGATCATAACATGTATATTACATGCAACAAGAAATAAATCTGTAAAAGTTAGGACAGGTTATATGGAAAAAGGRGGGGGGGGGGGGGAGTAAGCAAGAGTATGAAGCAGAAAACAGACATTTTTTAACTAGATAATAGACAAACTTTACTGGGTTTATCACTTCACACGACCAGAGAGAGAACAAAAAAGTGATTGGATATTAAATGGGCAGAGAGATAAAGAAGGGATAGTCGCAGAGCAGTTTTGGGTGGTGGATCCCGTGAACATGGTTATGGTGTAGGTATTGTTTGACATGGGCTCTTGTGGCCTTATACCTAACTTTGATTCCTCATGGGAAACTGATCCCATGTTCAGTTTTGTCGTCTCAAGTCTGAACTCTGAATTCAGCCTCCTTTTTCCTGCCACATTTGGAGGTACATCTTTACCCATCAGCCATATTGTTGGTTGGGTGGTAAGCGGAAACCCACAGTCCTGAATTTCCTTTTGTTGATTCTTTTCCTTTTCAGTTTGATGTGGAGTTGAAGTATACTTATACACAGAAGAAGGTATGTCAACGAGGTTCAGGTCGGAATCAAATTGATAGGCAGAGGGGTTGTTTCCCCCCACTGAATCATGCCTGTGAACTTCTGCACCTCCAGTATATTGGAATCCACTAATACTAAACCGAGATGAAAATGATACTTTAGATTTTTCTTTTTGATAGGTTTTCTCAGCAACCAGTTTTAAGTTGTCTCTGGTAAGTCCAGACTCAGCAATATACTTCTCTTTCAAGTGTGAATTATCAAATACACTCTTTGTCTCCAGAAGATGATGCTTTGGGGAATGCTTGAAGTCCCGATAATTGTGTTTTTCTTCTTCAGTGGGAACCCTGATTTACCACTTGAATGCAAAGGGATCAGTTCCCCCTGTGAATTAAGAGGCAAACCAATAAAACCTTCATCAATGCACTTGTCTCTGAAAATAGCTTCTCTTTGCTTCTTCCACTCAACAGAGGGACATATGCTGCTCATTAAATCCCTAGTAGTCAGGTGACCAAGTGATGGGTAAGGTGAAGCACAATGGTTGAACCTTTGAGTGGTGTCTTGTGACAGAAATGGGTGCCTTACATTTTTTCTGTATTTGTAGCAGAACAGGATGGTAAGGACTGAAAATTTGCCTTTCTATTTGTCAATGAATACATTGCAACAGATCTTGGAATAGAATCTGCACAGGGATCGGGTAGATTTATCCCAGTATCAGATATCCCTCTGATATTTCCATCTGCTTGATCCTCCACAATGGGATTAAATCCCCTATTTATAGTAGAATGGAGGAGTTGGGGAATGCCCACATGTGAAAGAGACTGTGAGGCAGTCAGGTTACCTTGACTGAGCAAATACAAATTATCATCATGCTGTAAGTCCTGGTTGAGGTCTACAAATTCATCTAGAGCAAATACCACATTTTTTCTTTTAGAATAAAGTAATATTTCATTTAAAAATAAGGTCATACATTCTATTTGTCTAGATGTAAACTAAGCAAGTTCAAGTGCCAGAAGAAAATGTCCAGCAAAACAAATATGATTCCCTCAATGTGGTCAGCTCTTCTGGCAGCTTTAATGTGGTCAGTATGGATGGAAAGAAGAAGAAGGTTGTTTGAGAACAAGTTCACACATGAAGATATAGTGATAAAAAATATGGTGGGCAGACTGGGATCGCGGATATCTGTTGAGAAAGATTTTAGTCAAGGTACAGAAGATTTGTTTTTGTCTGAACAGAGTTGATTTGGATTGTAATGAACTTGTAAGTTGATTTGATGTGGCTTGATGTTGGTTTGCTCCTACAGTGACTCACTGTAGGTAAAACCTTTGTAAAAGTTTATATTTGTGCAACAATATACCTTGCTTTAAAAAAAAAAGATGATGCACAAGTTGTACATTCATGTATACAAGTATAGGGTCAGATATAACGGCATGGTACTATGATACTATCCTTTGTTCCAAAGAGACACCTACCCTTAAATATGATTATTATCCCAAAGGATATTCACCTCACCTCAAATCTTCTCTACCCACACCCTCACAAGCAAGGGTCTTCCATTGAGTTAGCTCACCAATATGTCCAAAGAATATCTTCTTGTGTCCCATGACAAAGTTGTCTTCTTTCTCTAATCTGATGGAGATTTCTTAAGTAGCACACAATTAATTTTGTATCCTTCTACTACTAGTTCTAAGAAACCAGATTCATTGGCCAATGTCAGACCTTGAAGTGCACCATGTAGCTCAGCTCTTATGGAGCTCCCAACACTGGTTGGTCCTAAGAAAGCAAATATAGTGTACCTTAAATGGTTCTTGAACACACCGCCAATACCTGACTCCCTGGGGTTCCCAAGACTGGAGCCATTGAAATTCATTTTAATTCTTCCCAACAGGGGAGAGATCTCTTTGTCATGATGGATCTAATACATTTATTTAATGAAGAATCCACTATGGACCAGTCTCTGATGATGTCATTTGTAGAAGGCAGAACTTTTCTTGTCTCGACTCAATTGATTACTCTAACTTCAATCAGGTTAATTATTGCTTCTCTGAACTGATGTTTGTCTTGGAAGGCTTCTCATATATTGTTCCTCCCATATGGTCCAAAGAATGGCTACTCTTGTAAACATCCATAGGATTTTTCCTCTAGGTATCTGTCTTTTGGATATGGCATTGTATTCCCCCTGTTAAGAATCACTTAACAGGGACATTTATATAGTTTGCATATTCTCAAAAGAGGAATAAACAGTTCAGGTCGACAAGGAGTGGAAATGGTTTGAATCTTCTTCCTTGGAGACCCTTTTTCTCTCACATTCTTTTCTTCTGAGTAAGAAACCAAAGCAGATAAAGGAATGGACACTATCAGAAAGGGGATGGAGAAATCTGAACTTTGATGGAAGCAGTATGGGCAATCATTGTCATTCTGGGATAGGGGGAGTAATAAGAAATGAGAATGGTTTTTTTACTTGTGATGTACTCAGGCCTGATAAGAGAATGAGACTCCATCAGGGTAGAACACAAGGAAGCAATGGTTGGGGTGAAAAAGGCAGAGGAACTGGGGGTTGATAAACTAATTATTGAAGGAGATTCAAAAGCGATTATAAGCTGGTTATTGAAAAGGGTTGCAGCAAAATGGAACTACATAAATGAAATAAGATGGTTGACACATTTTCTGCTTTTTTCATTTCTAAGTTGATTTAAGTTGTTTTCTGATGAGCATTCTAATAAAATTTAAGAAAAGAATGACTGCTTTTTTTTTATGGAAGTGAATCTGTTACAGAATAGAAGCAAAAAATTAAACGCATGCTGTACTCAAGACAAGACGTGCACTTACACCATTGGAGGCAAGAACAATGAATTGATCCCTCTCTGTGAGTATCCTGTGAGAGAATTCTGGTATGGAGATAACTCCATAATTCATACAACACAGGTAATGTTTATAGTTCTAGCAACAAATTAGACTACATGACTTGGTAAAGATCTGGAACAATCAAACTTACTTCCCAAACAACCATGGCACCCTCAAGCCCACTCTTTTGCTACTTAAACTACTACCAGTTTCAAATGCAAAATAACTTTGTTTAGCTCTACTATGTGCTATTCTAATATGCTTGTACAATTTAAAATATTATGCTTGCATTGTTCTATTATTGGTAAACATGTGATTTGAAATTTATTGAAAATGCTTGTTTTCTTTCTCGTAGGAAATTATGGCTGAAGATACTGTTGGTTCAGGTGGTGGTATTATTTTATGAATAGCTTTTTATTGGGGTCTTATTTTTATCATATTCATTTTGAATATTTTAACTTCTTATGTACTATGAAATAGATGCCTCAGTGAGAAGGAGGGGTAGGGGCCCCACAAGAGCTACCGACATTTGGAACTTGCCATCTAGAGAAAAAATCCCCATAACATTAAATGAGCTAGGCCAAGGCATCGGAGAAAATACAAAGAAACTAGTTAAGTTTATGGGGACAATTGCAAGGAATGGCGATCTCTGTCCTCTGGGTTTCAAGCAGTGGACTTCATTTCCAACTCCACGTAAGGACATTTGGAATCTTGTACTGGTATGATTTTTTCTTTTATTTAGACTTGTTTATTTGTTTGAATTCATACATCAATCGGTAATACATTTGTTTAAATGTGTTCTTTGTAGGGTAAATTTGAGATAGACAACAAAGGTAGAAAGTGGGTATTGTCCTCGATTGGGAAAAAAATGGAAAGATTACAAGTCAAACTTGAAAGCCATGTAGTATGATCTAGTTACGCTTGATGGGGCAATGCGGAATTGCCCAAATGGGGTTCCTAGCGATCAATGCTAGATTCTTGTCACTTTTTGGAACTTTGATGAGGGCAAGGTATTATCTCCTAATTGTATTAATTATGATTAACCTATATTGTTTGAGTGTCACAATATACATGGCCTTACACTTGTAGTTTTTATAAAACTGTAGAAATGGAGTGGCATAGCTAGAGGAAATCAGTCCCAACAAAAATACACACTCTGGGGGACCAAGAGTAATGCAAGATTGCGTCATGAGATGGTAATACAATCAGTTAACTATATTACTATGTGAAAATGATGATAATGTCTAATGCTTAATATGGATATAGATGCAGGAAACCGGTGATGGGACACAACCAAGCAAGGGAGTTGTGTGGATCGAAACACATAGAAGGAAAGATGGGGTGCCTGTAGATGCAAAATCGGGAAGGGCAATGGTTGTTTATTGAATTAGTGAACACACACACGTATATAATGTTAATTATATGATTTAGTATAAAAACCACGTATTAGCCTCACAATAACTGTGTTGTCTTTTGTAGGAACACAACGGGCCATGACTTCTGGTGGGTCGTCAACCCCTAATGATGATGACTTTGATCAAATATTTGGAGCGGAACGACATGGGTACGTGCGGACGTATGGATTGGGTGTTACTCCTTCCACTCTGAGCATGAGTTGTAGAAATAGAGCATCAGAGTCTACATCAACAAGAGGAGGCTGTGGGCATGAGGATAGTGATGAACGACTTAGGCGGATAGAAGATAGCTTTGAAAAGGTGACTAGAGCATGTAGTGATGTACAACACCAGGTGGGAAGGATAACATTCATGCTTCCTCAAAATCTTCAAGGCATTCTAAACGATGATCGGGATTAATTTACTACCTTCAAGAGGTGCAGAGGTAATACGTGTCCCAAAGTACAATTCCAAAATTGACATTCTAGATGTGTTTACTTATATGCTTTCTTGTATTGTTAGGTTCCTGATCTATCGAGTGCACCACGTGAAGCATCATAGCCTGTCCACGTGAAGCATCAGAACATGAGCCAGCATCCTCGTATAGCCAATATTATAAGATGTTAACTATAATAAGAATATAAGACCAAAGCTTAAAAAGGAAGTTAGCTAATGCTGGTTCTAGCTACTCGGGTTCTTTGGAGGGGCGGGGATGTACCAACCTAACCTGGAATTTTTATGCATGAAGTGTTTTCTCTTTTACACCTGCATTCTCACACTTTTCAGCCCAAGATTTTACCATTTTACCATGCAATGACCCCCTTAATAAGACCTTGTGTTTAATGGAACAAAATATTGGAATAGAACTAAAGTAAGGATGTTGAGGTTGATGAATGGAAAGATTAAGAAGGAGAAAATTAAGATCAAGGACATCCTAGGTCCCCCCCTCCCCAGCTTCCAAAGAAGGTACAGAGTTGAAAGTTTCAACTTACTCTCAGGGAATGGCCGTCTTACTCTCAGGGAGCTGAAACGTGGAAATCTTATTGCTGCAATGCAACATGCAAATGAGGAAGAGGATATTAACAAAGTTCTGAGGTAGGCCCCTATCATCTGAAAATGTTTCTAGTTATTTGCATTATGGAGGATCTTTCCTCCATTATTAACAAAGTTCCGAGATTACCATTTTGGAGGGAGCTTTTCTAGATATAAACTGAAATAAATGATACTGCTTTGAAGCACTTGCCTTTTTTGATCTGGATCGAACAGTATCTATCCAGCATATTAGCAAGTAATGGATCAAAGATTCCCTACTTCCTAGTTAACTACAAATAAAAGTTGCTCTTTCTCGTGAAATGCCTTGACTGAGCAATAGATAAGTTGCTGCCACTATTTGCTGGATGCCTTGCCTGAGCTTCTGTAGCTCAATCATGTTTATTGCTTATTATTGTATTTTGTCATCATGCTGTAAAGCTCAAATTTAATAAGTGATGGCAGAATTTTCTGTAATCTCAAATTTCTTGATGCTAGAAGGTAAAAGAGATTGATGAAAATGAGGGGAAGAAGATTAGTAGATTACCTTCTTGCGTAACACTGCATTTTCCTCTTCCAGGAGTCTTTCTTGAATTTGATGAAAAAATAGTAATTAGTGGAAAACTTAGTGCATGCAATTCTCAGAATTGTGTGTTTCAAGAGCTCTTAATTTCTATGAGTTGCCATCTAAGCAAATAATCTGAGCGCATCTTTTTCAAGCTTTTTGTTTTACAAATTACCTTTTCCTTTAGATCTTCAATCTGCTCCCTAAATAACTGAGTCCGGAGTACAAGTACCATCAAGTGTGTAAATTATCAGTTCAGGATGTTGAAATAACTCTCCAAAAAATCTAGTATCAGTGATTCAAATTGTGTACCTTTCTTGCTCTGATGGTAGTCAGGCTTCTCTCTAGTTGGTTCTCTATATGTTGTAGTTCTTCTAGAGAACATGACCCCAAGTTTTCTCCCAACAGTTTCCTGAGTGAATCCAATTTAAAGTTTTGAACCACAAAAAGAAAAAATTATATGATGTATAGAAGCAAGTGTTGTTTATAGTATGAGTGAGCTCAATGGTTTCAAAGTAGTCTTCAAACCTTTTGGAAACTTCAAGAAACTCAATCTTCTTTGCCATGTTCGCAGCTCAATACTTCAAATGCTGTATTTGAACTCAATTATTGTGAGAAAGCAGAAATGAGTGCTAGATAGAGTTTTGGTGTTTCGGAAATGCTTTGCAGTATCAAATAGTAACTTGATGTAAAATTAAGAAAGATATGTATGAACCCATGAAAGATCTAAGTGATATTAACAAAGGGTGCCAATGCCTCAAGCTGGCTAATGGGCTGTCTCGAGGTCGTCCTTGACATCCCCAGAATGGGAAGCATTCGATATAGAGAAAGCTTGGACCCATCCAATTTTAGGATACGCTGAACCAATATATTGGTATTTGGCTATTATGTGACAAATCAAATGATGGTTCAGTATAGGAAGTTTTAGTAGGAATAACCATCCCAACAAGGCAACAGAGCTAGGAGTGATTCTCCTTAATGAGTGTAACTAGTTGTATTCTTCCATGATAGACAAAGATAAAGTTATATGCTGTGTGAATCGCATCCTGTCCTCAAGTAAGAGATATGCCTACAGGAGGTGGTGGAGCTTCATGGAGAAGTCATCAAATCCTATGACAACTTCATCATTTGCAAGAAGGTTTTCATTACTCTTATCTTTGGACTTAGCTTGGATCTTCACTCTATTTTTGAAATTCCAAGAATCATAAAATGGAGCATGGAAATCCTGATCAGTATAGGTAAAATGACAGTTGATTATGCTAGAAAATGAGTCAGATATTTCTTTCGGGAAGTCAAAGCCAAGGCAAAGTCTAATCAGTATTGGTGGTTTGTCACAGCCAAGTCAAAGCAAAGGCACAATTTTATTTTGTAACATTTATTATGGTTTATATTGATGTTAAATAAATTGTACATTGTTATCTGTTTACTAAATTGAATTATAAAGACTATTGGCTGCATCAATCATCTATTAGCTGACTTATTACTGATCCAAAATTTATATTTGTTAATGGCAGGCAAGGCAGTCTTATTCAGCTAAGTGCATGCCTGATGCTGAGTCATTGAATTATGTTTAGTTTATTTCTATCTCCAGTCATTAAAATTGTCTGTTTTTTTGTTGAACTGGAAAAATTAGGTGAGTGGGGGTGGAGATGACCACACACCAAAGGAGGATCTTAACAGCACCTTCATCAATCAAGCCTCTTGGGAGCGCCAGCCTGTAACTTCTCGAGGAAAAGAAAGAACAAATGAAAGAAAATATGATTCGATTTGAAACAAAGCTTACAAATATTGAAGCTTCATGTTGTCTATAGTTCAATTTCAACTTATCAAAATTTTCACACCATAAAACTAACTATTTAGGGCTGATGATTCCCTTGTTCTACAATATAGTCATTTTAATTAGTTTGTAATCTAGCATTTGGTAGCATTTCCATTTTTACTATTATTTCTATATTATCACTCAAGCTTCAGTAATATTAAATTTACTGTTTTCGTAAAAGTAAAATCAACTACTTGTTAAAATGATTATTCTATTAGAAGATTAAAAGTAATTATTAGTCTTGAAGATTGTGAAACTTCTCTTTTACTGTTCCCATGGCCTTATTATATCCTTGATTTGATGATATGCATTGTAGTCAGAATTGGATGCTCCTATGCTGCAAGGGCATAGGCTTTTCTTCTACTAATTCCCTTAATAATTTTCCCTCCCCGATCCAGTTATATCTTTGAATTTGAACATGATTTCCATTCCATATTCTCCTTGGTTGATGCAGCTTGTAATCATGCTCCAAGAAGCAAAAGGATTACTAGAGATAATCAGCTTTAAGGATCATATATAATAATAACTGTTTTCCATCAGTATTTGTTTGTCCTTTCTAGGGTGGTTTCTAGAAACTGGAAATTCACCGTGCATTTTGTCTCAAAGTTCAGGGTGACATCTAAAAAATAATCTTAAGAGTGTTGCCAATTGTTACTTCAAATAAGGTGGAAGACATTTGTTAAGGGGTCTTGGATATTCTTTCTAGACTTTTAACCTTCAAAGATTAGCACTGTCGATAGGTTGGCCCCACTTGCTCACAAGTGAGTCACGCAAGGGACTATCCTTGCTAAAAATTAGGAAGTTAATTGGTCGGTGTCTAGTGAGTCAGGCCTATTTGAATGACCTTTGAGGAGAATTAAGTGACCATTAGTAAAGATTGTTGGGTTTAGAAATAAAAATAAAAAAAATAAAGAAATAAAAACAAAAAAGAGTAGAATGTTTGCTTTGCAATAATCAGACTCTTGCTTAGTTCTATATTCAGTTTCAGTGGGGTAATTTTCTCATTACAAGAAACATTCGTTTGCGCTTGTTTAGCATGAACATTGTATTTAGAATGGCTGTCATGTTCCTTGATTTGTAGCTAGTTTAGTTTATTGTCATCATTATTTTGTTTAAAGCTTGTTGTGATTTACGTATTTCATTCATGTTTTCTATGTAAATTGGTGCAAGAGCATCTGTATATTGCATAACATCATTAGAATTCTAGAATTTCATTTTCTTGTTAGGGGAGAGTCCAGTACACTTGAGTCATCAGGGCTAGGCACCCGATGAGATCAGTGGAAAGTTCTCAGCCAGTCACCAACTTGAGAAGCCCATATGAGTGGAGGTTTGAAGACTAGTTGCCTTAGCCATGAATTTAGATGTCACACCCCAAACCCATGTGCATCATTTGCATGCTAAGCATAGACACTAACTTGAAGGTTCCATACATGCTGCCAACACTCCATGATGATAATAGAAGAAGTGACCTAATTCTTAGATTACTCAATTGTGCTTAAAAAAAAAAAAGAGAAATCCTTTGTTATGAAGTCATCTTTTCATTATCTTTCTTTTTGCATTTTGCATAATAAGTTCAACTTCTCTAGTATGGTGTTTTGCATAGAAAGATGTATGTTCCTAATGGCAATCGGCTTGTAACCCACCAAGAATTTAATCAATTTAAGCAAATGATGGTTGTCTTGGGTTTTAAGGTGGATTGGTTGATATCTCAAACTGGGGTAAACCCACTTTACACACCCCCATCGAGCATACCTTTATCCCTACCAGGCACATTTGCACTTGTTCCCACAGTCTTTAGCCCACCACCTCAACCAGTATCCCCATCCCACCAACCATCAGTTCATGGATGTTCATCTATTACACTTGTAATGGCTAATAAACCTCTTATCATTTCAACCCCACCCCAGATAACTCTGTTTTCTGCATCATCTTCCAAGCCGACATCACACTCATTATTCTCTTCTCCACCTCAAATGACTCAAAGTGGCGAACCATCCTAGAAGAAGGAGAAAAGGGTCATCACCCATTTACCGTGCTCCCATGCTTAGTTGCTACCCTTCCTTGTTTTGAAAGGGTATCTTTGACTGCTGACCTGGAAACCTCCACGGGAGGCCAAGCCGAAGAAATGCRATGAAAACACTCACTATGACTATCATTAAGGGCCTGACCACACAATTGATCATTGCTCGCAATTGAAGTTTTCTATTCAAGAGCTCATTTATGGGGGTGTGTTCGATCCCACCAGGAAAACTCCAGACATGGCACCACCAATGCTTAAGAAGTTGATTCATTAGAAGATCTCATCATTTCTATTTTTTGTTACATTAGGACTCTTTTCAAATTTTCCATTTTATTACATTTTTTACTTTTGGAAGCTTGGAAATGAACATGGTCATTGTACAACTCATCTTTTGTATTAATGAAAGATTTTACTTAGTTGTTTCTTTTTATTGTTCTGCCTTTTTGCTTTTAATAAAATAATGAACTTTAATAAGGGGATTTTCCAATCTAGGAAAAAAGATAGAGTTGTCACTTCCCTTAGAAAGGATGTACGGGCATGACTTTCTTGGATTGAAGGCTTAAAATAAGCCTCAAGGGCCTAACTTTGGGGAAAAGATGATTATTAATCAAAAGTCCATCGTTATGTCTAAGGAAGGAGGGCAATCTTATCAGACTAAAATAGCAATATTTATTTCCAAGTGCATCCACAAATAAACCCACCATTAATAGCTCAAATTGGGACAGACATACATTTGAAGTCATTGTGATGAGATATGCACTCCTTTGTATCTATTTCTTGAGCTAACATAGAGTGAGGGCATTATAACAACTTAGTGCTTTGTTGATAAATCGAAGAAAGGATTGGAGGCCATTATCAGTCATTTTTACTCTCCCAAACCCCTTACCATTGTTAGCACTGCTAGTTAGCCCATTGAGTTGATTCTTTGGACTTTCTTCTTTGTTAAACCAATCAAATTTTGAGGATGCTTCTTTCCAAAGGGCTAGAAAAAGTTTTTGAAAAAAAGAAAGAAGAAAAAGACAGAAAAGAAAAAAAGAAAAAAGGAAAGAAGGGGAAAAGTGGAATAGAATTACTCTCATTCGAGTAGCCTCAAATTTCAAGTGTTAAAACTGACATAAATACCTTTAAGTTTTGTCGAACTCAAATTGAGAAATGATGTAATTCTTTCCAATGTGTTATGCATTTAATGGAGAAATGATAAGAGGCCTCCTTTTGGTCGTTTGCTTTATCCCTTTTTGTCAATCCTTTTTATTGATCATTCCACTAGTTATCCCTTTGAGCCTTTGTAGTAACCATTTTTCAAATAAACCCTCTTAAGATGTGGATGTCAGATGTTCAGTTCCACATATAAACTTCAATAAAGTGGAAAGAAACAAAAAGAAAGAATTGAATATGAAAATTGGGGCAAAGACAGTAAAAAAAAAAGAAAAAGAAAAAGAAAAGAAACAAAAAGAAAGGATGTTGCAAGGGTAAACTGGAGCATCCAACTGCTGCGAAAAAAGAAGAAAAGAGCAAGTAAGAGTAATTGGGACAGATATGATGATCGAATTGATAAGATATTGTCCAATAGTGACATCCGTTCTCAATTTTTTTTTCAACCTTACCTATTTACATTTCATCCTACAATAAAGTTCTTGATCACCTGGGTGCATAACCCATAATATTTAAAAACATGAAAAGCTCTTTGTTTCATTTGTGGCTATGAGAGTGTTAAATCGAGAAAATCAATAAGAAAACAAGAACATAATCTTGAGTAAATCCCTATTAATTGATTCAAACATCTGTTACCCATTTTATTTTAAGTTTATTAAGCCTTTTATCCTTTGCTTTATAACCCAAGTACTAGCCTGCATTTCATCTAATAAAAAATCATCCTCGATCCCTAATACATTAAAAGAAAAAAAAAAAAAGGAAAAGAAAAAAATCGAGCCTAGTGATCCTTTAAAACTAGGGGCAAAATGGTACAAAAGAAGAATTTCTTCATAGAGCACCATGCTTTAGTGAATTGAATACCAAATAAGGTGAAGTGATCAATCATCTAAAGTGCGGTAGGATTACTAGTCAACACAGTTTAAGCAAATTTAGCTTCATCTATCATTTGAAACTTGTAGTAAGCACCCATTTTGGTGATTCATAATCTTCTTTGTTCAAAATTGCATAGTTTGGACACACATCCCTTCCCATGGGGGTTTCACGAAGTGTATCTTTGATTCACAATCATTGCATATCCAGTGTTTGTTTTGAGATTTGAAATATATTGAGCATTATTCAAGTTTAGCAAGAATCCCAAATGGAACCCTATCTTTGAGTATCCATTACTTTGAATCATCTAAAGGTGGCATTTTGCATATCATCTCTATTGTATTTGGGGTTTTAATCATGCCCTAAGTCATTATGAAATTCGAAAATCATTCATCATATGAAGAATTGTGTTTGTCGGTTAATCGTATCATGTTTTTTCAAATCATCCAGTTTCTAGATAGTCATATCATTTTTCCACCATATAGCAAAGAATTCATTATTTAATCATGATAATCATATTTTGTCTCAAAGTCCATTGTGGCGCTAAAGTCCCTTGTGGCATCAAAGTCCATTACGACATTAAAGTCCTTCATGGCACCAAAAGTAGGCCTGTAAACAGTATTTGAAAATCTGAATTCGAATCTAAGATTCGTCATAATTGAATTAAATTTGAATAATTCGAATCGGATATTTTTTATCAAATAAATCATCGAATTGAATTCGGATATACATTGATCCAATCCAATAAATATTTGAATTGAAAGGTTGGAAAAAGAAAAAAAAATGAGAAGATGAGAAATGAGTTCAAAAATCGAAGTCTTTTGACTTTCGAAGTCAAACCTTACCTCTCGACTCTCACCAGTCTCCACTCTCCAAGTTTCAAACCCTAACCCTAAGTTCCTAACCCTCCGTCCCTCCCTTCGTCGTCACTAGACGCCACTCGAGCAACCACCACCACCAGTCACTGCCCCTCATCCTTTGTTGCTCCGTCTAATCGTCCCTCCGTCTAATCATTAGTGATAGTGGTCGAACATCGGTCACTGACCACTACCTTCCCCTTCGCCGCTACTCAAGCTCAAGCTCAATGCCTCAAGGCCCTCAACCATCCAACATCACTGGCCATTGTGCTGCAATAGTCCAACATCACCGGCCAACACTGCTCACTAGTCACTACCATCACATTCGCATTGCCAAAAACCCACGACTGTTGTCGTCAATCCCTTGCCTCTTTTCTCAAGGTAGTTGGAATTTCATTAATCACAGATTATAAGATTGAATGTTTATTGGTTTATTGGTTTATGAGCTAGATTTTTCAGCTCATTTTCCTATGCTAAATTTCTAATGAGATAAAATAGATTACAAAATTCTAATAACTATTTAGATAATGATTTATTGGTTTTTTGGTTTTTGGTTATGAGCTAGATTTTTCAGATTAAATGAGATAAAATACAAAGAATAGATTACAGATTTAGGAATTGGTGTATTCATTTTCCTATTCTAATGAGATAGAACAGATTACATATTTTTGAATTCTGACAATGATTTAGATAATGATTTATTGGTTTATTGGTTTTAGGTTATGACTTATGAGCTCGATTTTTCAGCTTAAATGAGATAGAATAGATTGCAGATTTAGGAATTGGTTTATTCATGTAGATAGTGGTTATGTTGCAATTTTTTTTCCTAATTCCTAAATGATATTGTGAATATTTATTGCTTCTCATTGTTTAGTAATTTTATTTTATGATTATCCATTTACCGTGCTAGTTTTAAACTTCTAATATTTTTTAAATTTTATTTTGTGTAATCTTTATTTAGGTTCCATTTTTACTTTTGAAGAAAATATTAAATATATCTAAATCGGCTAATCCTTCTCAATCTAACACTAAATTGCCCCCATTGGTCCCAAGAAAAGAAAAAGAACATTTAAAGTGTGGAAGCATTTTGACATAATCCTTAAAGTTTAAAGAAAAGTTTAAATGTGTTAACATGGATTTTGTACTAAGGATGGACTTCAGTGCTAGATATGCTCAAATAGATAGCAGATGATGTTGGATTGGGTAGCCTCGAAGGGAGGCTGGATGGGGTAATCTTAGAAACCCAAGCCATTTTAATGTTTCTCAAGTTCACAATATTTTTATCCATAGATGGCTCAAATATAGCCATTTTGTGAAATTCTTAGTGCATGTGCATGCCAATAACATATCCTTACTTCATTAAGTATTTTATGGCAATATATAGGACATGTTAACAATTGGCATTGCTTCAATTCAATTTATAGTTTATCCCTGATTTACAAGTAAACTAATTTATACCTTTGAATGGTATTAACTACCTGTCCTTTATTGATCCAACAATGGAGCTTGCATTGGATTTCGAAAAATTGACAAATGAGAAGCTTTTGAATTGCATAGTGTAAAACTATTTGATCCCCCTATGTTTTTATTAGTTTTATTCTCTTTAGTCTATGTTCTGTATTTTCTTTGAAAGAAAATAAGAGAAACTGAAATTTATCAATGTGAATGCTTTTATCTTGCTATTCTTATGTAGTTAAATGCAAGATTTCAAGTACAAAGTGTATCTCTTAAAATTGGTATCCTTGGTAGAGAGTGATGTACTGTCAATCATAGTATTCAGATTTTCTAAGATGTAGGATTGGTAAAGGAATAGGAATATGTGATTGAAATCATATGTGCTGTGATTTTCCCCTTTGTTCCCCTTTGTAACTTGTAGCAGTCTGAATTCTTTGCAAATTAAAAGGTTTTCAACTGAAGTACTATAGTATTCAGGTGGAACAATGCTTGAAAATTGAGAAAGAGAGAGTTTCTCATTACCTATGTTCAAGCACTAAACCAAAGTTGTTAGAGGTATTTATGTAGTCTTTACTTTCTCATTACCTACATGAAAATGGTAAGGTTTGTATCAATATATCAATGTCAATGTGTCATCTTGTGATTGGTGCAAAAAAAAGTGAAGTCTTTTTTCTTTTTGTTGAAATTGATTGATCTAGTTTTATTTGATATARGAAAAGCATCTGTCAAAGATATATAACCAAGGATCCGTCCAACCTTGGTTAGAGATACAATAGATGAAGCAAGCCACAAAAAAGTAGGACAATTACTTTCCTTTTCAAAGTTTTTATTGAAATTAGAAGTTTAGAACCAATTAAATTTCAAAATTTGTCTATTGTAAAACAATTAATCAAATTGGGTTTGAATCTATTCGAATTCATATTCAAAAAGTCAATCGTCTATTTAATAATCAAAATTGAATTCAAATTGAAATATTTGATATCCATCGGATATTATCATTTATAATCAATTTCAAATTTGAATCTAATCTGCTTCAATTCGAATTTAATCCATTTATAGGCCTAACCAAAAGTCCTTTGCAGCAAAATATCAATGTTTATTTGATTATTGCATTATGGTTTATCATTTGCTTCGTGGCATAACGCATCATAGATTTAGAAATCATTAATGTTTTAAAAGGTTCACTATATTATCACTTTAATTATTGTTTCAATTAAAAGAAAAATTAAAAGTTATTATTCTCTTATTTGAATTATATTTATCTCAAAGTCTGTTAGGGCACTAAAGTCCCTTATGACATTAAAGTCATAGATAGATAATTACATCACAGCATAACATGACTTTTGTTGATTTGCATTGTAGATACACATTAAACATAAAAATTATCAATATTTCAACTAAAAATCATTAACTTTTTATTTGAATATCAAAACCACTTGTAATAGCAAAGTCCGTTATGGCATTAAAGTCATTTATGGTAGTAAAGTCACTTGTGGCATTAAAATCCGTTACAGCATTAAAGTCCTTCATGATACCAAAATCCATCGCAACAAAATATTAATGTTTTGAGAATGATTACATCATGACATAACATGACATTTGTTGATTTGCATCGTGGCCTAATGCACATTAAACATAAAAATCATCAATACTTCAATTAAAAATCATTAACTTCTTATTTGAATTATGTCAATATCAAATTCCTTCGTTATAGCAAAATCTGTTATAACATTAAAGTCATTCATGACACTAAAGTCCCTCATAGTAGAATATCAATGTTTTATAAATTGTTATTTGCATCACAACCTAATGCACATTAGACATGAAAATCATATATCTCAATAATTAACTCCTCATTTGAATTATGTTAGTATCAAAGTCCCTCATGGAAAAAAAATGGTTGTTATGATAACAAAGTCCCTTATGGCATTAAAGTCACTTGTGGCATCAAAGCTCCTCGTAGAATTAAAATCCCTAGTGACAAAGAAATTAATATTATAACATGCTTCTAGCTGATTTACCAATATATAATAGATTATTGATTGCACCATGACATAATGCACATTCTATCATCATTAGTGTTTTTATTTATAATTGCAACACATGTCATGACTCAAAAAAAATGATGATGAAAATGAAAATGAAAAATAAAAATGATGATAATGAAAACTTGATAACAAGTACTTGACCACCTTCTAAGCGTATGAAAGCATGTTTACCACCGTTATAACTTTTAACCACCCCATTATTATGTTGAATTTCCAAATTCCCCCATCCACTACAAGAGAAGGGACATGTACCGACGGTTTAAATCCGTTGGTATTGGCCTATACCGATGATCGATATAAATCAACACACAAAACCGACAGTTTCAGGATTACTAACGACGGCAACAACCCGTTGGTACAGATGAAAAAAATGTTAAGATCTTTAGTGATGTATTTCGTACATCCTTTAGCAACGGATAACCCATCGGTATAAGTTTTACTAACACACCTATCCGTGGGTGAAGAATTTATAAATGTCTTTTTCATGCATTTTTGGGATTGTTGTTTTACAAAATTACCAACGATGTTGATGTACCCGTTGGTAAAAGACTAAATATTTTTTTTAAATACTAATGGAACGCCCGCAAGTAAAAATGTACCAACGGTTGTATCTATCATTAAAAACCTTTTTACTGTATATATTTTCAAGTTTTATGATGTTTTTATCTTTAACAGAGATGAAAAAATCATTGGTATAGCTTTTTCCAACAGAGGCAAGCGTGGTACATCATATTGCAAAAGTGACGATTTTTATATATTTAACAATAGTTTCTTCCATCAATATGGTGAATCTTTTCATAGAATTAGTGTCGGGTTGTTTTGCCAATATATGCTGCCCCTTTGAGATTATTTCATTCCAATTAGTGGTTTTTCATCTATATTTCTTCTTACAGAAACAAGTATTTTAAGCAAAATATCATCTTGTTAATCATATATGCAAATAAATATACATGCAAAATTCATTTCATTAAAGCAAAAGCATACATAATCCTTACTATAAAAAAGTGCATGTTTAGTCATCTCATCTAGTTTAAATAGTTGAGTTGCAATGTATTGTAAAAAGAGAGAAAGAAGTTCAAAGGGAAGATTTTGCTCTTAGTTGTCCCAACTTCCAATAGAGAAGAAAAAAAAAGCCAAACAAATCAAAAGATGGGTTTTGCACTTAGTTGTCCAAACTTCCAACTTCTTGCATACAAATTAATATATTTAAGTAATTAGTTTAAATTAAAATTAATTTTGTATATATACACAAACGTAAGGAGAAAAACTAAAGAAAACACATAAAACACTTACCATCTTTGCTATGGGGTAACATGATGGCTTGAATATGAGGAGGACGGACACCCATTTAGAGAGCTATATGGAGCACTACTAGCATCAAGAACCTATCAAGAATAATAAATTTTATCAGATAAAAAATAGTGCTTTCTTTGGATACAAAAACATCAAAGTTCATTAAGAGGATTCAAAAATATCAGAATTCATTAAGAAAGAAGAAAAAGGTTGGGATTTCTGTTTTAATTGATGAATACAGCTTTGCAGAGTGATTCTTTAACCATGTGATGACACTTTTTCTCAAAAAATACACCACTAAAGAAAATGAAAGGGGAAGAAAGAAATTTCTTACATACAAGAGTTGGCATATCCATGTCAAGTTGGATAGCATGATACATTACTTTTCACTACTACCACCACCATCACCGGTTCAAGGGCGTACCAATGAGATATTCACAAGATATTCTATTTCACTAAAAAATTATATTGACAAGTTTTAAATAACCATCTAATGTCATAAATTAAATTGAAGGTAAGAAGATTTAGACTTTTGTTAAGAAAATAAAATAACAACAAAAAAGTTATGGAATAGTTAGAGCTAGCCATCTATGATGAGAATGAGAAAATAACAGGGGCCAGGTATAAAGGTACAAATCAAGAAGATATCAAGCCTATTTACTCATTTTGGGAAAATGAATGCTTGTTTTGATAAGTTTCCCAAACTAATACCAAAGAAGATATCAAACCCAAGAAGTAAATAAGGAAAGCACCAAAAAATTTTTGAAAAACGTAACTACGAATTTTTTATTTCTTTCATTCTCATTCAGGTGGTTGCAGGGAGGAACAAAATGGATAACTTTTTTTTGGGGTTTCAGTTACCTATAGGATGAAGCTAGTGGAGCCAAGGGCCAGTGACTAATTTGTAAGATGTATCATTACCTTCATCAACTTGGTAGGAGAGCTCTAAAACGTTTCTGATAATCTAAATGGGATTCACAACATCCATAACTATTCCCTAGTATTTTTTTTCTCTAAATAAAACTGTGAGCTTTGAAAAATGGGCTCACTTGGGCTGGAAGTAGAGTCGCCACTAGACCTGTTCATGGGCCGGGTGGCCCGACGGGCCAGCCCGGCCCGGCCCGACCCCTGAACGGGCTTGAACAGAATTTTTGGCCCGCGGGCTTAACCTCGGGCCAAAAAGCCCGGCCCGCATAAAATTCGAGCCGGGCTCGGGCTTTGCCAAAATAGCCCAGCCCGGCCCGACTTATAGTTAAACTTAAGTAAACCCGGCCCGACCTATAGTTAAACCTAAGTAAAAACCCTATG